ATTCCTCCAAACAAGAAGAAAATCCTTTGTTCTTCATTAGGACTGAGGCTGAATTGATGCTGTTGAGTTATGCTCATCTAAAAGCACAGACTTTTTTCTAGCTCTAGAAAAACAAAATCAACTCCTTTGGAAGGCAGCCAGTCTCCTCAGGCACCTTTCTTTTCAGACTTTACTAACTTCAGAAGAACCTGCCAGCTCTGAAGAACTGGCTGAATGGTCTGTCCTCTGTAAAACTGTCGTTGTGTTGTTCTTTGTATACTGTATAATTAAGATTTTTTTTTTCCATAAGCAAGATGTTTTTCCCACTTCCTGGGCAAATGGCATTTCCACGTTATTGTAAACACACGCAGTCACTCACAGGGATGAAAAAGCTCCAATGTCTTGAAAATTGTGACAGTGTCAAAGCCCCAGATGGCCCTAAATAGAAGGTTTCCTTGCCTGGGCTTTGTCACGAAGGAGGGCAGCATGAGGTCTGAGTAACAGGCTAAACAGTCAGATATAAGACCTAGGACACCCTAGTATAGACAGCCTCGTGCTTTGGCCTAATGCTTTCCAAGAAGAGACATTAGTTTGGAGGCTTTCGAGCCCAAGGGGCTGCCTCTCTAAGGAAGGGAAGGGCACTGTGACCCTTATTGAGGCTCTGAACTTGGGAAGTTTGCTTTGAGGCACAAAACAGGAACTACGGAGCTTGGGAAAGACAGCCAGAAGAGGTATTTAGGATTAAAAGATCAGAGGATAAAGAGCACAATTCAAATGCATTTAAAACAGGAAAAAAAGATGAAGGCAATTGGTAGCATGTCGTAAATCCAGGGAGCAGACTCTGTAGCCATAGTCCAGGGTGGGCTCTGCCACCAGGGCTGTCGTGGGCAGAGAGCGTGACAACATGGCTGAGTCTGAGTCAAAGGGTGGCAGCTTCGAAACGCATGCTGCGGGCCCAAGGAATGCACTAGAGCCAGAGAGAAAAATCCAGATCCCCTGGTCACCAGGAAGATGGAAAGAAAAGCTGTCCTATATTTGGGATGGAAAATGAAAGTGAACTAGCCAGGAACAATGTGACCTCCTCAGAGAGAATTAAATCTAGACCATGACCTGACATTGAAAACACCATGACCTGCCCTCCATGTGTCCAGGTAGCCAGGATCCACCTCTATTGCTTGCCCACTGGAGCTAGGAGCATGCTAGGGACTGAACTATGTCTCCCCCAAATTCCTATGAAGCCCTAATCCCCAATGCAATGGTGTTTGGAGGTGGGACTTTGGGACCTAATCGGGTGCAGATAAGTTCACGAGGGTGGGGTCCTCATGATGGGATTAGTGCCCTTAAAAGAAGAGACCAGCGAACTTGCTCTGTCTCTGCCACGTGAGGGCATAGCAAGAAGATGGCCATGTGCTTAAGAAGATGGCCCTCACCAGGAACCCAGTTGGTCAGCACTTTCAGCCTCTGCAACTGTGAGAAATAAATATCTGTTGCTTAAGCCCCCCAGGCTGTGGTGTTTCGTTAGAGCAATCTGAGCTAAGACAGACAGGGGGAGTTCTACTGTCCCTTCAGGTCCAGCCCAAATGCAACCTTCTCTGAGAAACCTCCTCATATTTCTCCCTGGCAGAATCTCTCTCTCCTTCCTACAATCCTCTGTTCGCACCTCAACTCTAACACTTATATGCAACACAGGTCTTCTATAAAATGCTGACAGTTATGGAAGCTCCCACTTAATTTTTCCCAGCTCTGCCGAGCTCATTCCATGTCCTGAGCCAATCCCAACTGGGGCAGGAAGGCTCTCGGAGTGGTTCCACCAGCGCCTTTGATTGTTGGTTTCAGATCTGTCCATTGGGCTGGACAAGCTCTGAGCTGAGCTGCCAGCAGAGATTCAGGCCAGATGGCTGAATCTCTGGTCTGGCCTTAGAGTTATTATGGCATATCAATTGCAGGATGGGTTCCTGCGTTACATACTTCCTGTCCCCTCCCTTCCCTTGGCCCACCAGTGTGCCCTGTTTTCATGACCGATTTCTGTACTTGAGTCTCTGAGACCAGTTCTTCCACACCACCATCTCTCTCCCATCAGGTTGGCAGAAAAATATGAGACAACCATCTTTTGGCATAATTATGTTCCATGCAACATGTGGGACATTCTTTTTTTTGCATTTTTTTTTTTTTTTTTTTTAGTAGAGACAGGGTTTCACCATGTTGGTCAGGCTTGTCTCGAACTCCTGACCTCATGATCTGCCCACCTCAGTCTCCCAAAGTGCTGGGATTATAGGTGTGAGCCACCACCGCCAGCCAAGAGACATCCTTATACTAAAAATTATTTATTGTTTATCTGAAAATTCAACATTACCTGGACATTCTTGTAATTTCACTTAATAAGGCTGACAATCTTATCTCAGCAGCATGATACTGAGTAACCTGCCTGAGTGCTATGTACTTTTCTTCCTGTCTCCCACACTGGGGACTAGCCCTTCCCTGAAACTCAAGGTCCCAATCCAGAGGTCGGCACCCTTCCTTTTACATTATCTGCGTGGATTTCCCAGAGCCATTGATTCTGCCCTCTGGTCTGAATCTCTGCTGGCAGCTCAGCTCAGAGCTTAACCAGCCCAGTGGACAGGTCTGAGGCCAGCTTGCTTCCTTGGCTAAGTCCCCTCTTGCCTCCGGAAAAGCCCAGGACTTGCTGGTGACCTCTAGACTTTGAGTCGAATGTCCAGTTATTTCCAATCAGCTTGTGACCCCAAATGGCAGAGATAATCGCTGTTATGCCATCTAGCATGATTTTTTGCACATCATTGATGCCTAATAAATGAATGTTGACTTTATTTTTTTATTTTTGAGACGGACTCTCACTCTGTTGCCCAGGCTGGAGTGCAGTGGCGTGATCTCAGCTCACTGCAACCTCTTCCTCCTGGGTTCAAGTGATTCTCCTGCCTCAGTCTCCCAAGTAGTTGGGATTACAGGTGCCCGCCACCACGCATGACTAACTTTTCTCTTTTTTCTTTCTTTTTGGATTTTTAGTAGAGAAGGGGGTTTCACCATGTTGGCAAGGCTGGTCTGGAACTCCTGACCTCCAGTGATCCACCCACCTCAGCCTCCCAAAGGGCTGGGATTACAGGTGTGAGCCACTGTACCCGGCCCAAAGTCTATCTCTTGATGATTATGCAGTTGCTAGAAGCAATGGAATTAGGGGGTGGTGTTGGTGGTAGGGAACCATTTAACTGCCTGCTGTATACAGGCAGTATGCTAACAGCTTTCTATGTATTATATTTAGTGTTGGCAAAGTAGCCTGGGGTCCATATTTGACCCACTGTCTGGGTAAACAGGACCATGCTAATTTGTTTACATACTATCTAAGGCTGCTTTGCAGAGACAGAGACTGTATGATTCGCAAAACAGAAAACATTTACAATATGACCATCTAGAGAAAATATTTTCCAGTTCAAAGGTAGACCACTGAAGCCTTCTGCTAATATCTCTAGAAAGGAGAGGTTCTTCTAATTTCAGAAAACAGGAAACTTGGGTTCAGAAAAGCGAAGATGTTTGTCCTAGAGCAGTGGTTCCCCTGCTTCTAAAATTTTAAATTTGCATTTTGCCATAAATTACCTCTTTTTTCAAAGTTAGGGACATTGTAGGGGGAAATACTATATATATTCCTATCATTTCAAAAAAGAAAAGATATTTTAATACCCGAGTATGATGGAATATAATTACCAACAGCACGTTGGATGAAATACATTTAATGTTATGAAGAACTCTGGATACTATTCCTGTTTTCTTCATTCCGCAGAGGACAGGTGAGAACATATTCAAGGACCAGCATGAATTGAAGTGCAGGAATTCTGGCCAGTGAGTGGCAAAACCAGAGGACAGCTAAGCCTCTCTGACTCCGAAGCCTGTGCTGGGGCCATTTATCTACCTAGAATTCACGCATCATTCTTTCACTCAATAACTATGGATCGAGCACCTATGATGTGTCAGGTACCATGCTCCTCCCGTACAGGCATGACAAATCACTTTCTTCCATTTCTCTCACCACTTCTCTTTTCTTTGGCTATTTGGATTGAAATAAAAAATTCAACTCTTAACACAGCTCGGAAATACATAACTATTGGCCGGCCACGATGGCTCACACCTGTAATGCCAACACTTTGGGAGGCCCAGGTAAGCAGATTGCCTGAGGTCAGGAGTTCGAGACCAGCCCGGCCAACATGGTGAAACCTCATCTCTACCAAAAATAAAAAAATTAGCCAGGCGTGGTGGTACACATCTGTAATCCCAGCTACTTGGGAGGCTGAGGCAAGAGAATGGCTTGAACCCGGGAGGTGGAAATTGCAGTGAGCTGAGATCATGCCATTGCTCTAGCCTAGGTGATGGAGCAAGACTCCATCTCAAAGAAAAAAAAAGAAAATCATACCTATTTTCTTGTTGTGATAGGCTGACGTGTGAGCTGCTGGGGAAAATGATCTGAATGAAAATACCACAACACAATGATGTTATAGGCTCTCTCTCTCTTTTTAAGTCTAAGTAATAACCCTAGAGGCTCTTAGGTAAAGAAGTAATTTTATCAAGCTACAGAGCTGCCCAACCCAGATCTCTGATGTGCAAAATAGTTCTCACGTCTGTCTCTTCACTGCCAAGCTTCTCCAAAGAGGAATCACAGCCGATGAGTAAGAGCCCCACCTTCTTTATCAATAACTACCATCATCTCTTTAATATCACATTGCTAGAAAGTATTCTTCTATTACAGTGAACTATAACCAATAAAGCAGTCAAGCTATTTAAAAAGTTAATTACATGAAGTGACTATCAAGGCACTTTAAGATAGAATTCATATTCTTGAACAAATGAGAACATTCAAATTATTGCATCATATATAACGAACGATGTTTAATAGCCTACATTGAAACATTTCTGACTCTGAATTATTCCTCTTTTTAAAACTTACTACATACAAGAGACACTCCAATTCCACCACTGATCATAGACGAAACATTTAAAAATAATTAAATGAAACTTACTGTGTATTCTGTTTCCACATGTTCATTTGAAGAAGACAGGAAAGAAAAAAGAGACAAAAGATGATTTAGACCATGCTTATATGCAATATAAAACCACAGAACTAACAAATACTGATCAACTATAACTACGAAAAATGTACTAACGAAACTTTCATAAATACTGAATGTCTCCATGTTTGCACTGAAATTCTTTCACGATACTTCTGTGGTTGGGCAGATAGGAACCGTAAGACAAGATTCAATTAGCCTATAGGCTTGTGGCTAATTAAAAACCAAAGAGTTGGTATTATAAAAGCAAATGAAAGACTAATAATTCCAGTAGAGCATTTCATTAACCACAAAGGAAATCTTTTAAGTGGAAAAGCAGCTTTTATAACAAATAAGAAGAGTTTGTTATGATGATGTTGAGGTGGGATTTCAAATTCTAGCGTGTCTGAGGGCAGGAATCAAACCTGAGTTTTTCTGGCCACAGTTTCTGGGACAGTATTCAGTACAGAAGAGTTTATTACCATCACATTGCAAGTGAGAGGGAAATTGATCTTAAGGATTTTCATATTATCTAATAGCTAAGGAAGTCATCTGGGGGCAGAGAGACCTCACAGAATTTTTTATACAAATTATGTTCAAAATTTAGAGTGGTAAAAGCAAACACATCAAAATAAGCCACTTGTTTATAGACAATCATACCCATAAATTACTTGGGAATTATTGAAGAAACAAGGAAATAAGAATCATAAAACCTCTGGAAATATCTCTTTCAAGATCTTCACCTCCCTTTTCCATAAGCTTTTTTTTTCTTTCTTGAGATGGAGTCTCATCGTGTCACCCTGTGAGGTTGGTGTGCAGTGGCACAAGCTTGGCTCACTGCAACCTCCACCTCCTGGTTTTGTATTTTTAGTAGAGACAGGGTTTCACCATGTTGGCCAGGCTGGTCTCAAACTCCTGACCTCAAGTGATCTGCCTGCCTCGGCCTCCCAAAGTTCTGGGATTACAGGAGTGAGCCACTGCGGCTGGCCCGGCCAGGCCGCAATAAGCTATTTATTGTAATTCTAAGAAGGAAGATAGAATGGCTTAGCTTAACCCTCCCCCGCCACCGTCACCTGCCATCTCTATGTCTCAGTGTTAGAAGAAGTACTGATGACCTACAAGTAAAAATAACCAAAAAGGAGAGGGATACTCTGGGCTCCCACAAGGCCCTGCTTGGATATCAACGATAAATCAATGAAATTCAACTACACTATGTCCTTGCATTTACTACATGTGGCATATGGTTGTAGGACTCACCTGTAATTGTGTAGGGATAATAGTTCCAAGCCTTCTCTGTAACATAAAATATTTTGGGGACGACAGCTCTAGCCCAACCAGGCAGTTTGCTAAGAGAAAAGAAAAAAAAAAAAAAAAGACAATTAGTGTCTGTTCAGAGTCTCACCACACTACCACATCTTACCACATCTTTCTGGATCAAATGCTGGAGAAATCAGGGGAGTTCTGGGGCATCTCTTTTTCTCTGCAGCTACCCTTTTCTCATCTCTCTGGTCCTTGCCATAGTTAATTGCTTCCCATGCATATTCGAGTGCTCTCAAAATGTGTGAAGGCAGAAGGCTACAGCCCTGTGGGGGACTCCATCACACTGTCAGCCTGTTCTCTTTGGATTTGCAAAGACACGTGAATTCAGGGTCTCAGGGGTTCCATGTTTGGAGGGGTCGGCCAGCCTGACCTTTGTCTCCTAGGAGGGTTATCGTGGAATGTTTAAGCCCAAACATCGGCAGGGAGAAGAAGTTAATCTTGGAGACAGACTTCAGCCTAAGCAGCCCATATGAGTGACCTTTTGAGAATGGACGAAAGCAACAGAGAGCACAACTCAGAGACAGGAAGAGTAATAAAATGCAGTTATAGTGGGTTGGATTGTGTCTGCCCCAAAAGATACATCCACAGTCTTAACCTCCAGTAACTGTGAATATGGCCTGCTTTGAAAATAGGCTCTTTGTAGATGTAATTAAGTTAAAGATCACAAGAAGAAATCCTTCCGGATTTAGGGTAAGCCCTAACTCCAATAACTGGTATCCTTCTAAGAGAAAGGAGAAAGAGATTTGAGACTCAGAGACACGCCGAGGGGGAGGCCATGTGGGGACAGAGGCAGAGATGGGAGTGACGTTGCCACAAGCCAAGGAACGCGAGGAGATGGGACAGAGGCAGGGGACAGACTCTCAGTTTCCCCAGAAGGAAACGACACTGCCAACCCCTTGATTTCGGGTTTCCGGCCCCCAGAACTGCTAGAGGAGACATTTGTGCTGTGTTCAGCCACCTAGTTTGCAGTGATTTGTTTTGGAAAGTTATTAGAAGGCCCATAAAATGGTGCAGTCATTCCTCTGGAGCAGCCATTTGCAGAAAACAAATCCCCAAAAGGCACAGGTCCCAGGGTCTTTTGCAAACCAAAAACCAATGAAATTCTGTTTTTCTTCAAAGGCAAACCTTAGAGAACAGTGCAACCCTCAGCTAATTCCTTAAACATTATATTGAAATATATAATGTTTCTATTCCTTAGGATATATCTGCATGATTTCATTTTTATCCCAGCCCAATCGCCAAGGGTTTCTGTCCTTCCAGAGGCAACCATTTGATTCTTTCCTACTCTGGGGACTATAGCTAAGTGTCTGGGATGCTCATGTCTAGCAGTTGATCCAGAGAGTCGGATCCAGGGAGATGACGTAAACCCTTAGCTCCTTTGGGCTGCATGTTGGCAATAAGAAACATCAAGAAGCAGTTTTGAAGCTGGGCACAGTGGCTCATGCCTGTAATTCCAGCACTTTGGGAGGCTTAGGTGGGCATATCACGAGGTCAGAAGTTCAAGACCAGCCTGGCCAACATTGTGAAAGCCCCATCTCTACTAAAAATACAAAAATTAGCTGGGTGTGGTGGTGGGCACCTGTAACCCAGCTACTCAGGAGGCTGAGGCAGGAGGCAGAGGTTGCAGTGAGCCAGGACTGCACCACTGCACTCCAGCCTGGGCAACAGAGTGAAACTCCATCTCAAAAGAAAAAGAAAAAGAAAAGCAGTTTGGAATTCCAAGCTGATAGAACCAGGAAGCTGGAAGAGACATGGAGCTAACAGAACCCCAAGTTTCAAAATCCTCCTGGATGTGAAATCTAAACGACAATCAGAGCTGTAAAATACTGTACCTGGCCTGTCTTTCCCAGTTGTTTCTCTTATTTCTGACAGCATCCAGGCCTGGCTTTTGAAAAGACAAAGATGGATTCTCAGCAGCTGGCCGGACCTAACTCATAGCTCCGGGCTGTTAATCAGGGTTGAAACAAACAGGAAAGCAAAGCTCCCCAGAAGTTGAGTGAGTGTTAGACAAAGACCCCTGCTTTCAGGAGGGCTGTGAGGAGTGAGTGAAGCAGTCTGATCTTTCACATAACAATTCTTGCTGCTCTAATGCAGAATTTTTCACTCCTATAAAATCCTCTCCGCAGTAACTGCTCATTTCCCTGACGTTCACACTGCTCAAAAGGATGGGGTTTTTATAGCTTTTGCAGATGATGTATTTCATCCATCACTGAAGTTGGAGTGCAACTCAGGTGACGCTGACAGTGGGAAAATTGCACTGGCTCGTGTGCAGGAAATGGTCATGAGCAAAACTTCCCCTGGTTCCTTCCTGTTTGCCCCCACACCCCAGTGCAATGTGCCAATGGCTAGTGTGGGAAGATGTGGATTCTAGCTGTAGGCAGGTGATTTTCTTGTGCTTTTAATGGACTGACACAGGGTTGGAGAATCTCCCTTGAGTAAGCAAGGCACTGTTTTGTTTTGTTTTTGAGACGGAGTTTCGCTTTTGTTACTCAGGCTGGAGTACAATGGCGTGATCTCTGCTCACCGCAACCCCCGCCTCCTGGGTTCAAGCTAATCTCCTGCCTCCCCTGCCAAGTAGCTGGGACTACAGGCACGCGCCACCATACCCAGCTAATTTTTGTATTGTCAGTAGAGACAGGGTTTCACCATGTTGACCAGGATGGTCTTGATCTCTTGACCTTGTGATCTACCCAACTTGGCTTCCCAAAGTTCTGGGATTATAGGCGTGAGCCACTGCGCCCAGCTGGCACTGTTTAGCTTAGACAAAGAACGCATGTCTCCCTAAGGTATTAAAGCCCATTCTCCACTGTCCTCTTGTGGCCAGGGGTTCCATTTACACTGCACCCCTCCTCAAATTCCTCATGCACAGTAGTACTCTGGGGCCCAAGTACCTCCTCACTACATAATTCATTCCCTATAACATTTTAAAAGCCTCCCAGCAGAACCATATACTCCTGAGCAACCATCATTTCCTGGAAGGGAAGTGAAAATTATGGGCAATTTTCCATCCATGTTGAGAATTTTCATATTTGTAAATGGCCCGTCAGGATTCCAGATTCTAGAATCTATTTTAGCTGTTTCAGCCACCATCTTACACAGGACATGCAGAATGATAATCAATGAGCTTTTCCATTGAGATGGCCTAAAAAACCACAATCATTTAGTCAAGATGGCTGATATTTCATGGAACTCTTCTTTCTTTTTTTGGGAGATGTCTCGCTCTATCTCTCAGGCTGGAGTGCAGTGGCACGATCTTGGCTCACTGCAACCTTCACCTCCTGGGTTCAAGCGATTCTCCTGCCTCAGCCTCCTGAGTAGCTAGGATTACAGGCATGTACCTGCAAGCCCAGCTAATTTTTGTAATTTTTTTTTTTGAGACGGAGTCTCACTCTTGTTTCCCAGGTTGGAGTGCAATGGCGCTATCTCAGCTCACTGCAAGCTCCGCCTTCCAGGGTCAAGTGATTCTCCTGCCTCAGCCTCCTGAGTAGCTGGGATTATAGGCATGTGCCACCATGCCTGGCCAATTTTTGTATTTTTAGGAGAGACAGGGTTTCTCCTTGTTGGTTAGGTTGGTCTCGAACTCTCAACCTCAGGTGATCAGCCTGCCTCGGCCTCCTAAAGTGCTGGGATCACAGGCGTGACCACCGCGCCTGGCATTAATTTTTGTATTTTTAATAGAGACAGGGTTTTGTCATGTTGACCAGGCTGATCTCGAACTCCTCAGGTGATCCGCCTGCCTCGGCCTCCTAAAGTGCTGGGATTACTGGTGTGAGCCACCACGCCCGGCCTGGACTCTTCTAATTAGTCTGGAAAGGAGGCTCCTTCTGGTAGTTTCCAGGCCAGGCATGAGAGGCATTTGCAACAAGTCCATGATGTGCTATTTAAATATTTTTAAGCCACTAACACATCTTCTCTCAGCCCCCAATTTCCCCAGAGCCCATCATTATTCGAAGCATTTGTCTGAGAAAGTAAAATTTATTTTTCCCTGCAGCAATGATTTATCAGGGCCTGCAAAGGAAAATGAAATTAAATTAGTCCCCACTGTTGCTGTCACTTTCATGATGTATACTGTCACACAGCCTACAATTCCAAGAAAAAGTCTGTCACTCAAACTCACTCCCAAGTGCCAAACAAGAGCCTCTCTGCTAGAAAGGCAGCAGGTTTGAATCAAGTCTCCTTGGTCTGTGGGCTAAGATCAAACCTCCCGATGGCCCGTCTCACCAAGGCTCAGGCTTTAGAGACACTGGGGAAAAGGAGGGGCAAAATGATACCATAACCCATGTCGTATTTCCCTAGATGCTTTGTCAATGCTTCCCAAAGACAGATTTTTCAAAAGCTCCGGTTTCTTACTTTATGTATGTATGTATGTATTTGAGAGGGAGGCTTCCTCTGTCACCCAGACTGGAGGGCAACGGCGCAATCTCAGCTCACTGCAACCTCTGCCTCCCAAGTGCAAGCGATTCTCTCGCTTCAGCCTACCAAGTAGCTGGGATTACAAGCATGTGCCAATACGCCTGACTAATTTTTGTATTTGTAGTAGAGACAAGGTTTCACCATGTTAGCCAGGTTGGTCTCAAACTCCTGACCTCAAGTGATCCACCTACCTTGGCCTCTCAAAGTGCTGGGATTACAGGTGTGGGCTTCCACGCCCGCCTGGTTTCTTGCTTTTAAATGTTGATATGAATAGAGCATATCAATGACAGAGCCAAGGGGCCAGCTCTTTTGGTTTGCCTGGCAGCTACCTGGTTTTAACACTGAAAGTCCCATATGCCATAAAAGCCCTCAGTTCCAGGCAAACTGGGACAGTTGGTCACCCTAGAACAGGGGTTCTCACTAGAGGGAGATTTTGCATCCCCAGGAGACATTTGGCAATGTCTGGAGGTTTTCAGTTGTCTCAACAAAGGTAGGGTGGGGTGGGAGGTGCTACTGGCATCTACAGAGCAGAGGCCGAGGATGCAGCTCAACCTCCTCTGATGCACAGTACAGGACCCCACAGCAAATAATGATCCAGCCCAAAGCATCAGCA